CGGGCTTTGACCAGTGGACCTCTGCACGCGGTTGTGTCAGGTCACCCGTAGGGACACCCGGGAGCAACATCCGGGCCAAACCCACAGCTACATCCACCGTATAGACCCGACGCATCCGTTTCCCCCCTCCAGGTGCCGGCGCCGTCCATGAGTGGGGCACACCGCGGACGTGAGGGGGGTCACACTCTGGAGACGGGTGTCGGGCGTTTGCAACCGCCACAAAACTTTTGTCGGCATAGCTGTTTTTGATTTTAATAAAATATAATGATCTATATTCAAAAGAACATGACCACACATTATTAACGTGCTCGAAAAAATACAAACCATATATATATATATATATATATTCATAATATATGAAAAAAAATACAAACTACATATATATTCATATGTATGTTTATATTTAACATGCTACATGTTAGTTTATATAATAATACATAAAAAAGCTTAAAAATATACATATGAAAAAAAAAGTCTATCTATGCCGACGGCTATGCCGTCGGCATAGAGACGGCCAGGTTTTAGGCGGCGGGCGGCGTGCCGCGGATCGCTGACGTGGCATGTATGCCGACGGCAGCCGTCGGCTTAGCTCATGGACGGTGCGCCGCGGATCTGTGACGTGGCATGACGATATATGCCGACGGCCGGCCGTCCAGGCCGTCGGCATAGATTTGACGACGTTAGCCGCTGGTCACGGGCGGGGTCGCCGGGCCCACGGGTATGCCGACGGCTGCTGTCGCCATGTTCGCAGCTGGGCCGACGACATATGTATGCCGACGGGTGCCGTCGGTTTAGCTCGTGGTAGCCCGACGGCCAAGGTACGCCGACGACCAAGACGTGGCTGTCGGCATAGCGCAAAGTAGGCCGACGGCAGCCGTCGGCATTGATTTGGCCGTCGGGGTAGGGCCAGTTTCCGGTAGTGCGTATTCCATGTTGTCTGTGTTGTAGGCTTGTAGCCTGTTGGAACTTGGAACGCATATAGGATGGTGCAGAGGCTGGTGATCTATTCCGCTTTTTGAAAGAAAAGAGAAAAGTATAACTTACCGACAAAGGGGACGATGTTCTTGTGGCGTAGCCGGTTGATGATGCTGACCTCGGCAAGAAAGTCGTCGTAGCAGCGGTTCTGCACATCGCGCGTGAACCTCTTGACCGCGACATCCATCGGTCGCTCCGTCTTTGAAGCGGAGGCCGTGAGCGTGCACCTGTACACGGTGCCGAACCCACCTCCCCCGAGCTTCATGGCTTCGTGGAAGTTACCGGTGGCCTTCTTGATGTCAGCAAATTCCACCTTGGTGGGCACCCCGGGGAGGCGCTCCATGGATCTCGCGAGTTGGTCAAGGTCCTTGTGCCACCGCCGGTACCTCGAGTTGAAGTAGCACGCCAGGCCGACGGCCATCACTGCGGTGGTAGCTACGGATCCGAGGACGGAGGACAGGATGGTCACCTTCCTTGACAGGCCTCCACCGATGTCGATGTAGGGGTAAGGGAGGAGCTGCTCGACCGTCGCGTTCCAGCGAGGTCGAGCGTTGTGTAGCTGCTCCGCCGTAGAGAGTAGGCCAAAACGGACGTACGGGTTAAAGTTGGTAATGTTCAGGCTCACCTCAGCTATGATGTTGTCAGGCTTGGGATTGGCTTGGACGTCCGCGTAGACCGACAGGCTGCGCCCCGCACTGTCGTAGTCGATCCACACGGTGTATTTGTTTGCTACCCGATCGATAGTGATATCGACAACCATGATGTCATCATAGTAGTGCTCCGTGATCGAGAGATTCGACAGCACGCCAATCCTGATAGAGACGGTGCTGCCGGAGACTGCGGCGCTCCGAGATGTAGCCTCTGGACTACCGGCTCCGGTGAGGACGAGCGGGCCATCATCTCTGGCCATCAGTTCCATCATCAGCAAGGAGGTGTTTAGCATCGACGGGAGGATGAGGAAGGCGAGGCTATCCCGGCTGGACAGCGGCTGATATGCCACGGTGGCGCTGAAGGACGCCCCATCGACCTCCAGCCCGTCGCCGCCGTCGGGTCGAAGTTGCCAGAGTCGTATCGACTGATCGACGATGGACAACACCTGGGTGTTGTTCCCGTCGGAGTCGGAGAGGTTGCCGAAGCCTCTGGATTTTTTATCGATCAGATAGAATTCGGAGCCGACGCCGGCTATGGTGTAGTTGCCCCTGAGCCGATCCTGATTGGAATCAGTGCTTCGGCACGGCTGTGCCTTCGCGCGGGAGAAGAACATGATTAATAGGAGGATGAGGATGCCGCAGAGACATGGGACAAGCTGCTTCAGCGGAAAGGTCATTCTATGTTTCGCCCGGTAGTACTTGTTAGCCCAAGTACAGACTAGCTAGTACCAGACTAAAGAAAGGAGCAGGATATCTGCCCGAAGAACACTAGTACGAGCACTAGTAAACACACACACACTCACGTACTAGTGAGGAGACAGAGTGGTACTACTAGTGGAAGCTGGATGAATTGCTTGATTTTGGCTTCGTTACAAGAGAGAGAGCCGGGTCCTTTTATAGGCCCAGGATGTGCACAACACACACACTAGAAATTACTCCGTCTGTTCCTAAATATTTGTCTTTCTAGACATTCAAATGGACTACAACATACGGATATATGTAGATATATTTTAGAATGTAGATTCAACCATTTTACTTTGTATGTAGTCATTTGTTAAAATCTCTAGAAAGACAAATATTTAGGAACGGAGGGAGTACGTTGCTACTACTATAGCCATGCAAAGCCATTTCCTAGGAGTAAGGCGTTTTGGTGACCGAGCTCCATGGAGCCCTTTATTTTTGAAAAATTCAAAATTCAAACTTTCTGACTTCAAAAAATTCTGAAAATAAATATGTAACTATACACGGATGAAATGCATGTGTGTGTAAAAATTCAAGATGAAATACTTCGAAATGCGACCTATAGAAAAAAGACAAATATCTGGACTTTGAGGATGAATAGTAACATGTGTTAAAAGGCCCCAGATTTGTCTTTTTTGCACAGCCTTCATTTTAACGTATTTCGTCCTAAAAATTTACACACATGTGTGTTATGCCTTCATGTATATCTGTAATTTTTTTGAACTGTAAAAATATGAATTTTCATGATTTTTGTGTTTTTCAAAAACCAGCCTCCATGAAGGCCGAGCTCCAAAAGGCATTTTTGATTTCCTAGAAACTACTACCACACGAAGACTTCCAATCAAGTCTCTTGCACCAGCTAAGGAAATTAGCAGGAAACTACTAGGTAACTAACAGCCAAGCCAGCTACTGCCGCTGCTGCTGCATGCATCCGACATGCACATGCACGTCTAGTGTTAGACAGGATTTAAAGCCTACAGTACTAGCTAGCTAGCAAGCTGCCTCTATCGGCCTCACACTCTCACCTTAGTACGTAACTAAGCTTGGGACTTGGGTACATATACTAGTGGGTGAGGGTTGGACGCGAACTAGGAGCACTCGGCGACGATGCTTACCGGAATCTCACCCGCTGCTCTGTTGTCTAGAGATCAGTGCATAATTAGATGGAATGAATAGCTGTTGTTGAATACACCGCTCCATCGTAGATTGGCACAGTGCGTTCCTGTTTGCCCGCATTAAGTTAGGGCCAAAGCCGGACTGAAAGCGCAAAGTACAATTCGTCATTTAGTGGACTGCAAGGACTATTGAGCCACCTATACTTTATATCCACCTTACTAATAACATCAGTTGTACTGGTCAAGAGGAAGACTATCGTGGCATGAATTCTGTGAGACTGCGTTTAATAAGAGCAAGTATAATAGAGCTGAGTCAGCGAGCTATAAGAAATAAAATAGTATATTTCTTCTTAGTTGAAGGAAAGAAAAGAGGAGAGAGAAGGTAAGTGGGCTCTTCGTGAAAAACCAGCTCTAGCACGTGCTTCTAGACACTTTATAAGAATAAAAAATGGACCACATAACAAAAAAGTAGTACACTTTTTGATGAAAGCGGACTAAGAGCACTCGGCGACCCGGCATACTGAAATCACGCCCGCTCCCATGCTAGCTTGGGATGCGTGCGTCTTATGACGAAATGTTTTCTTGACTGAGACGTAGTACACCGGTACAATTCATGCATGTGCATTGCCATTTAATATGTTGCAAGCAGGGCTACATTGCATTAATTCATGGAGACTAGATGCAAACAGGGCTACATTGCATTAATTCATGGAGACTAGATGAGCAGGACGGGAACGACGGCCATTCCATGCTTGACGGCGACGAGGACGAACGACGTACGGGCGGCTGGAGGAAGCGGTCAGCTCAAGTCGTGCTAGAGAGCGGTGCTGGCGGCGGTGACACTGTCGCTAACTGTGGTCACGCGGAACATGAAGTCGGTGCCCAAGGCAGACACAGTGTGCAAACGATGTGCACAGAATGTGGCATGCACGGACGACAGCTACCTCGATTTGATCACTATGGATGTCATAGCCTTCCACCTGGTTTTCTTCTCACATGTTGTCAATGGCCCCTAGAACGCGTGACTTGATATCAGCGGACAGGGCAAACATGGTGTCGCCGGGCGCCGGCAGTGACTCCGGAGGACGAGACATGATCTTCCCATTTCATGTATAGCAAGCATAAGTGGGGAAGAAGGTGCAGGAGTTGTAGAAAGGAATCAGGGGAAGGATTGATGGGGAAGAAGGTGAGTGGTGGACTGGTGGGGAGAAGAATGTGGTGGGTGGGAGGCTTGCAAGCATTGATTGGATTACTGGCTTGTTGGGCGCTAGTTGTTGAGGAAATTGACCGTGTGTGGACTGTATCTGACAATGTCAGTACATTGAATACTGTCATAGATACATGCCCTATAAATTTCTAATATAGTCTGGCTATTATAGAAGATGTGGATCCCGAGGCTACTTAATGGGTGAGATTTCGGTGAAGTGAGTCGCCGAGTGCTCCTACCCATTTTCGAATTTTTGATCTATTATTATACATGTTGGCTATAAAATGGATTGTAGATGACATGACACTGGCTTATAGCTAGCAGCTAGCTATACTATTAATCATGCTCTAAAATAAAAACTAGGTATTGCTATCTAATGAAAATAAAGCTATATGTTCATCCAAGCAGATCGTACGTTATTAACACAAGTCTGTCTTTCACTATCTTATTTTTCTCCAAGGAAATCAGGGGTTGTTTGGTTCCAATAAGTCACCTGACTTATAAGTCAGGTGACTTAAAACCGGCGACTTATAAGTCATGCCTGTTTGGTTGTCACCTGACTTCTAAGTCACCTGAGCACACCTTTCCACCTTGTTTTTTATGTAAAGGTGGTGGGAACCATGCAAAATGGGGTGACTTATAAGTTTTAAGTTGGGGTGGAGCAACTTATGACTTATAAGTTGGGGTGACTTATAAGTTATGTCCGTTTGGCAAAATAAGTCACTTTTTACACTTTTCGACTTATAAGTTAGTGACTTATTTGGAACCAAACAGGCCCTCAATACGCAAGCGAGACGCATGCATGGTTGTGATTCCTGGTCTAATTTCTTTGAATATGGTAGCACCAAGCAAAGGGGACCCACACCTAGGCATGCAGGGTCTGTTGGTTCAGACGTAGAGCATTAACTAACGAGTGTCGTGTGGAACGCACCCTAATAATGCCTTGGACACGAAAGTCTGTACCAAGAATTCTAGCGCCAGATTTATTGTCAACCAAATTTTTATAGGAGTACTTTATATCACCTGACCATATGTAAAAATTCAAAAAGGTGTGTACTCGTTGTAAAAAAACCGAACTACAGTCCTCTGTTCAAGAGGTGAAACCCCTGCACTGCTGATAAATGAATTTGCTGTCCAGTCAGGTAATATAAACCCAAACAGATCAACTAGGATGGCTAGAACAAAAAAATACATTATTATCAGCGTGGTTGTGCAAACAGAGGAACGACGAGAAGATATCAGTTAGGTGACCTTGACACAGACGAACAACAGAGCAAGGAGATTAAGCACTAAAAGAGCAATGATGGGGGAAATTTCCAACCTTCACAGATGAGTGGAAGCGGTGGTTCTTCACCTAGGCCAACGGGAGCAAGAACCATCTAGAGAAACGAGGAAATGGATGGGCTCTCGAGTTGTGGGCATCAAATGCATATAAAATAGTGTGAAGGAAGAAAAATATGAGGGAAAAGTGAGGAGGGGCCAGTTGGAAGGACGAGGAGCGTCTTTCAATTTAGTTCAGATGGATGGTTCGCGGTTTGTAGTTGAGTTCAGCTCGTGCAGCTGAATTGAAGAATCTGTACCGAACTGCGTGGACTTTAAGGCCTGTACAAGTGAAAAGCAAATGAGAATACGAGAGGATAAAGTTAGTAATACAATGTGGCTAATATAGTGGTTACGGATCTCAAGATGATTGGGTGGGTAGGATTCTGGTGGGCAGCGTCGCCGAGTGCTCCTATGCAATTTTGATAAAGCCATCGAATATTGGGTTTGCTTCTTTGGCTGGGTTAGGAAGTAGAGTAGGAAGCATATAAAGCTCGAACTAGAGCAGAGAAACTTGCAGAAAGTTCAGTACAACAGGGGGAACATGGCATCACTTGTGTGTATGGTTCATTCTTTGCATCGAGATTCACAACATGCAATTCATGTGATCCATTCAGCGTAATCTCGTACAGGAATTGGGAGAAAAAAATGCACTACCAAACTGACCCACTAGCCCACAGCCTGTGTTAAACAATGCACAAAAGCTAGCTCGAAATGTTTATTAAAAAATTGGCAACACTCCTATGTGTGGGAGATATGCAAAAAAAATCAGAATGGCATATATGGGCTCGTGTTAGTAGGCTCGTCAGATAAAGCTTTAGATAAATAATCAGATGACTTTTCTAATGCTGCTTTAAACTAATTTATCATATAGTAATTAAGTAATTTAGAATCATTTTTCATGAAGAAGATTTTATGGGATCAGTGTTACTGTCAAACGAGAGTCGAACTCTAAATATTATGGGGTCAGGTTACATTTGATAATCCTTTTGAGTGATGACAATGCCTAGCAATCAAAGATTAGGCCATGCGTTGTAGTAATTATGTGAGATGCAGTTTTAACTGTTATGACTCTTTGGCCTTGCTTTGGCCTTTCTACATCTGCTATACAGAATTTTGAAGGGCACCAATAATTAAATCCAAGAAGTTTACTCATCCATTTCCATTTGATTTTTCGAAATCCAAGAAATGTGAACCATTTGCATGCCTTTGTTTGCTACGTCGTGCCCATTTTTATTCAGTGTTACTTCAGTTATAATTAAGTTATATACTAATTGTGAGATGTTCCCAGAGA